TGCATTTGAAAAGTCAACTGACCTTTGTGGTACCTTCCTTGAAAAAGGTGTCTGTTATTGTTACATTTATCTTCTCTTTACTTCTTGATAACACATACCCAGGTGCTAATGTTATTGTCATGTTATCCTGTTTGGAAAATATCAAAAAGTTCTCTGCCATCAAATTACAGAGTACAGTGCCATAACAAAAGTGGTTTAAAACAATTATCACACTGCAAATCTCAGCTGTCTGACATGAACCTGTACACATGTGCATGCAGTCAGCTACCTGTTAAGTGGCAGCCGCGGACACCTGTTCCACCTTTATTAGGACTCATTAGAATGGTGTACATGAAGCACCAGGTAATGATTATGAGACCTGAAAGCCACATTGTTTATTGCCATTTATTTAAGAGGACAACCTCAAAAATTGCTTTAATCCCAGCCTATACAGAACACATTGAGGTAACTGTACTGCAGTCCCTGTAGTTAGAACTGAGATGCATGTACTGAAAGTACATAGTATATAGAGTGTAATTACTTTGCTGTGAAAGAGGGTTTAATGCTTGAAATGTCATCTTCACAAACTTGCTACAGCAGTTAATTACCTTTATCAACTCCAAGGTGCTGCTGACACAGCCCGAAACTGAAAAGTTTCTTTAAAAACTACATCAGTCTACATAATGTAGTAGCTAATTGTTCATTGTTAGTAAAAATATGGTTCATTTTTACAGCTCAATTCTTCGCCTTTATGCCTGCAAATATATACATGTAATTATATGACTGTGATTCCCTTCTGATTCATGCATGTATGCATCAAATTTGTTCAAACTGAAATTCTTTTACTTGAAACCATGTTTAATTACTGCATGATTTCAAATTTATTTTTATTATTTATAGTTTGTTCAATATATTTACATCACTGGAGGGTTCTTCTAGTGATTTCCTGTGTTTTGCACTGTAAACTTGTCTCCATCTGGAACACCTAACAATAAAAACACAACAAACTAAAACAATTGCATGGAAAACCAGTCACTAAAGGTCTTGAAATCACTTTCAGAGTCTCTCTTGGAGGAGGAGGAAAGATGCTGGGAATAAGGTTGAATTTAAAACCTTCATTAATTAATACAGTTTAAAGGTTTACAATGTAAAGCACCAGATGCAATATACATGACTATGATACATTATGTATAGATATTTATTTCAATGGCACTTTGACTTTTTTTTAAGTACTGTACATGTAGTTCAATAATAAAATCAACAAACCTTGCATTTGGGAATTCATTGAAGCTGACATTCAATCTGCAGGGTGTTGATCTAAAAATTAATAGGAAGAATCAAATTATTACATGAACTATGCATTTCCCATTTATCTTGAATCCTTGCACTATTGGGAAAAATTACTGCATTTACTTTGTAGCTTAATCATGATAGTGCACACTGCCTCGCAAAGTCATGAAATTTAAGAGCTAACTGTAGTTGTGAGTCTACCTACTCAGAGCAGAACTTCTTAGCCCTTCTTTAATCTAATAGCCTCTGAGGCCCTGGTGCTGGGAAAATGTTTCTTTGGAGACACATTATTTGATTGGCCCTACAGACACTTGGACATCAAATTGCATGCTGGACAGGTATGGTTCCAGAAAATATCCATCAGCTGATCTGTAACAAAACCTGTTTCGACTGGAATTCTTACAAACCTTAATCACTCACATTGAGGAGATTTTAACAACTGAATGTATTAAACCCAGAAGTTTTGTAATTTGCATGTTTTGTTATGGAGGACGAAACTGAAAATTCTCCTTGTAGGCCACCTTAAAAACTTTGTCATGACCTGAAGGTGGTACATGTACATGTACTAGAGACTGAGCAGCAAAAATTGGTCAAAATTTTCAACTATCTTACAGGAATCACATGTCTCTCCAGAGCCACCTTTCTTTCATGCCAATTACATGCACTCTATGTAAATTCATAAACAATTACAGTGCTGGGGTATATCTAGAGGGGAGGGGTTTGGGGGTTTGGTTGAACCCCCTAAATTAAGAAAAAATATATATTAGACATCATAACATGCTGAGTTGGCCTCAGAATGCTGGAAATTCATTTCCGAGGACCTCAGTATTAAAATTTTTTGGGGGAGGATGCCTCGTACCCCCTGTAGGGGGACACCTTCGGCAGCCCATATCTTGTACCCCCTTCCCTAAAATCCTGTCCCCACAGCAGTTAACCAGGCATTAGATACTTGACTTCCCACTTTAAAAAAAAAAACACTAGTGGATTTTTTAATGTAGCTATTATTAATTTATCAACTAACAATGGTGGTAAACTTGTTTTTTGACCGTTTGGGGTTCCGCTGGTTCTCCTACAATAATATAAGGAACAACCCATAGTAAGGAAACCCATGTTAAATTAGCATTCTTTTATTAATTGTTCAACAGCTCGGCTTCGTGTTAACAATAAGCTTAATATATAAGCTTATCGAGAGTATTTATAAAGCTTTTACCATATGCATTCTTCTGTCTAATTTGTGCTAACATCAAAACTCGTTTAAACAAACTCCTTCCTGAGGCATTGATTATTATAGCAACGGAACGGCAGTTCAATAAACATTCAAACTTTTAAGGTCAACAACGCTTAATTTCGTTAACAACTTCGGTCCACGATATGTTTAACACTTACTTTGGCCTCCTGTTCTCGGTCGATGAGTGGATCTGTTTGTCTCTCGACTCTCTTGGTGTAGCTGTTTGCGCCCTACCGCTACGTTGCAACTCTTCGCTTCCAACTTGGCCGATCACCCAAGCCGGCCTCTTGTATGGCGGCCTCGTGCCACTAATGCAGATCGTTTCCAAAAGCGCATCGCTCATGTTGGAGTTAAAGTGGGATCAACGATATCTTAGCCATATGTGTGGGTGAAAGTGACTCAAATAAAAGATTACAATCGCTGCCGTTGATTCTTTCCGCGAGTTGCAAATCTGAAATCAAACATCGGTAATTCACTGTCTTCCAGTCACGCAAATGAACGCTTTACCACTACAAAAATGCTCTGGATAAGAGTACAAGCCTTCGAGCTGTCGTGCTTTCATCCGTCATTTTAAGGCCTACTTCTTTGTAAGGAATAACTCAAAATTTCGCAGAAATCGCGATGGAACGAGGAAACTTTTACTCTCGCATTCCCTCGGACTCGAAATGACAACACAAACTGAGCAAAAAGTTAACTTGTCAGCGGACTAATTTGACAAAGCTGTAACCATGGGAACAG